CCCGGCCGGCTCACTCTCGTTGTTTTCGCGCTCCGTCCGGCCGTGACGTTCCCAGGTGGACTGCCTGTTTCGTCTCCTGGAGCGGGCAACAAGGCACGGCGATACCACGAAACGTCCCGGCCCCCGCCTTCCCCCCTTCGATGCGGCGGTGCCTCCGGAGGATCGAACCGTGATGGGAGTGCTGTCCCTGAACAGCACCGCAGATACGAACACGATGGCGATGGAGGTAGAGGATCGCAGGGTCGACTGTGCAGCCACCCATTGCCCGCAACAGTCAATTTCATTTTTTTTTTTTGGTAGGAGTAGCTGTTCGTGAGAGGCTCCGCACTGTCTGAGAGGGGAGTGTTGCACTCCCAGAATTGGCTACAACTCAAGCAAGCGGCTAGGTGTTTCGCGGAAGTACGACAAAATGCCTCGTTTTCGTCCTCACAGCGGTGTGGGAAGTTGAGTGTTACATATCCCTTCCAAATTTCTGCACGACAACGGGAAGGCTGCCAACCAGGAGGAAAGGAAACGACCCAGAACCGTGCGGTGGCAGTTGCTCGGAGTTCTCAACCGATATCACGCGCCTCGTTACCCTCGTCCCCGTGGTTAATGAGTTTCGCGTGAAAAATGTGCGGTCACAATCCTGCCCCGAACCACTGTTGAAACAAATGTTAACAGAGGGCGCTGCGCCTGTCGGTCGCCTCCCACCGAACCCCGTTTGTGCTTCGCGTCGACCTGGATCGACCGGCCTGTGTTCCAGAGTGGGGACGTTGGCTCTCGGAACAAGGAATACCGGCGGGGGCTTGAGCTTCCCGTTAATTCCAAGGCCCTGTGTGGACGGGAGGTCGGGGCGAAGCTTGAGGTGGAGGAAGCGCTGTTGACAGCGCTTGCGGTGGTTTCGCTGCTGGTCCGCCACAGGAGTTCGGACAGATCGATCTGGAGGTGACAGGAGGAAACGTTTCGTGTGGCTTTGGGCCCAGTTTTTGCGGGTGCAGCCGAGGCTTGGTCTCTCGGGCCCCACCCTCTCCTGGCATCCTCCGTGTATCGTTCCTGCTAACCTCACGCTACCCGTTTTTCTCGTGGTCTACGACATGCAATGTCTCGGAGTATTGAATTGTCGGCCGACCACGCTACAAGACGCCGTAGTTGTTTCGTACTAGGGTTAGTGTGGCTTCTCGTGAATAGAAGCTTGGGTGTGGGACCAGCCTCGCCATAGAGCCGTTGAGCTGTAAGGAGAAGCGGAGCGCGCGCCTGATTCCCCCACGGGATCGCATGGACCTAACCGGCTTGCGCCAGGGTGTGTTTTGAATAGAGGCAGCCACCGGCGTTGTTAATACATGTCGTGGTGGCTTGCATGTCCGGTAAGAAGTTTCCTTCCAAGCGGAGTCCACTCGTGGTACAGATGCTGTGTCTGTTCCTCCACGCCTCCCTTTCCCTCTGCGGCCCTCGACCCACCTTTTGCAGCTGATCTGCCTGCCCCTACAGGGAACACCATCCGTCGTTTGCGACTAGCACCGTCTCAACCCCACCCGATGGCGTGTGTAAATGTTATTGTTCTGTTTCATGCAGGCGCTTGCATGAAAGATGGCTGTTCTCACAAAACCCTAGATTTGTGGTGGTTCTCCGTTCCTCTTTGTCGATCATGCGGCCGCTCTCTTTCGTTATCCCCCCCCTTGGTGCTGCTGTCAATTGAAGGATCCAGGAGGGGCTCGTGCAGTACCTTGCAACGAAAAGGCTCCTTTCCGACCTGTCCGTGTTGATCTACCAGCTCCACGCGTTCTGTGCAACAGCAGCATTGCCGACGACCGGAACGAGAACAAGAGAAGGACCGGCAGAAACGGGTATTCCCACAGGGAAAAACCACCACGATGGCAACAAGCGCCGCTCGACAAGCCCTACGGGAGGTGAGCTGTTGCCGCCACCTTTGTCTTTGACGACGGCAGCGGACAAGCATTGTTCTCCCCGCTCCCGGTCTCAATCTCCCGATTCTTCCCGACGGCTGCCGGCGCGGCCGCTGCCGGTCCTCGTACTCCGGCGCAAGACGACCATCGCCGGCTCGAAGCCGACGAGGTCGTTGTCGCCGCTGCCGTCCAGGCATCCCCTGCTGCAGGTCGCCGGCCGCGTCGCCGAGCTCGTGACGGCGGTTGTGTCGCACTCACTCGTGCGCGCCGCCGGGCCAGCTACGGCCACATGCCGGGCGGTAGAGGACCTGCGTCGCGGTGCTCTCGCCGCCCCGCCAACAGCACATTCGCCTCCTCTGGCGAGGGGTCCCGCGGCCGGCGGCGCGGGGTCCCCCACCCCTGCCTCAGGAGCGGTCAGGGCGGTGGGATCGCTCGTCTCGCTGGCGGCGGCGATGGTGGGCACTGAAAAGGAGCGGCGGCAGCGCCAGCCGCCAAGTTCGGGGGTTGCCGTCTTGGGCGCGGAAAAGAAGGACGACGACGACGACTCGCGGCAGAGGCGCGACGACGCGGCCAGCCCGATAGAAGCTAGTTCGACCGCTGCCACCGGCTCCCTGGAGACGGAGAAGGAGGGGGCGGCGATACCCCTGTCGGATGGACTCCTTTGCCTGTCGTCCGCGGCGGTGCAGGCTGCAAACCTAGCCTGCGTTCAGGACCTCGAGGCCGTGCAGGTAGAGTTCTGATTGGTCAAATGTGTTTTGCGAAAGGAAACTTCTGATTATTGGTGGACATTCCCTGGTCCAGGCCGTGCGAGTAGAGTTCTGATTGTTCAAATGTTTTGTGAAAGGAAATTGTTGATTGGTGGATATTCCTTGGCCCAGGGCGCGGGCTTTGTGTTTGTCACCCCATCTACACCTCTTGGTGCAGTGCAGATGGTGGCTTGCTTGTGTCGTGTGCTTGGTTTCCTTTGATAGATCGTTCAAGGGTTGAGGGGCCGCACTGATCTGCTTTCCTCGCCAACTGGCGGGTCGACTTGTGCTCAAGAAATTCTGCAACGCCTGCCCGCAACTCAATAGGCACCAGTGAAACCGCCATCGCTGAGCTGGCCACGTCCCAGTTTGCCCTGAGTAGTCCCTGGTAGAAAGCTGCGAGAGAGATAGAGAGCACACGTGCTTTTGGGTTTGGTGTGACTGGGGGAGTGTGCTGGGCGAAATGTCCCCTCGATCGTGTCCGCTGGAGGACGGAAAACGGCTTCAAACGTCGTGGGAGGTGGCTTCACTCGGCCCTCGGTGGCTGTCAAGTGCTGCCTGGCTGTCATGACCCGCTCGAGCGTTCAGTTGAACGCGTTGGTAAACGCGTGCGGACTAGCTACAACAAGGGTTTCGCGCAAATGATTTCGTTCAATACTGTTGTAGCCATCTAATCCTTTTTTGGTCTCTTTTGTTTGCTTTCGCACACTCATGAACCTACCAATTTTCGCCAAACTACTTATTTTCCGGTGTTACAATATTCTGTCAACCCAAAACGATTCCTGTACGAGTATTTGGTGTTATTTTGAATCGACGAACATTTTCTTTCCTCCCTCCCTCCCTCCCCCCGTCCCCCTCGGTGTTTGCCATCGGGGATGGGTTTTCGTCGCTTGGCAACGACGTTGTAAAACAAGCCAATTCACTTCGTGAACTCGGCAACCAGGTTACCGTTTTTTTTTTTTACCTCCGTTTTTTTTTTTGGCGGTAACCATAATGGTGGTCGAGTAGATCATGTTGTGCGGGGTGGAGAACCCTCGCTCCGCGCAAGGGGGATGATCGCACCACGTTGTGTTAAAATGGTCAAGCACCCTCGAGGCAGTTACAC